CTTCGAACTTGAACAAAGTTTAGAATAAATAATAAGATAGACAAGGTTTGGATGAAAACAAAATTTTCTGAAATGTATTTGGTCAAAAAAAAACATGGGGTCTAGAACCAATATTTCGACGAGACACATTTCCCATATAAAGGTACCCCCAATTTTCCGTATTTTGGGGTTCTTGAGCGCGTTTTTCTGTTGTAATGATTTCACCTGCGGATGATAGAACGTAAGGATCGATAATATACTATATATGAACTATAACCCGGATTTAGGCCTAGCCCCTGTGTGGGACTTACCAGAAGGAGTGGACCGATATTTCCCATCTTCGAACTTGAACAAAGTTTGGAATAAATAATAATATAGACAAGGTTTGGATGAAAACAAAATTTTCTGAAATGGATTTGGTCCAAAAAAAAACATGGGGTCTAGAACCAATATTTCGAAGAGACACATTTCCCATATAAGGGTACCCCCCAATTTTCGGTATTTTGGGGTTATTGAACGCGTTTCTCTGTTGCAATCATTTCACCTGCGGAGAATAGAACGTAAGGTTCGATAATGTGCTATATATGAACTATAGCTCGGATTTAGGCCTAGGCCTAGCCCCTGTGTGGGACGTACCAGAAGGAGTGGACCGATATTTCCCATCTTCGAACTTGAGCAAAGTTTGGAATAAATAATAAGATAGACAAAGATTGGATGAAAACAAAATTTTCTGAAATGGATTTGGTCCAAAAAACATGGAGTCTAGAACCAATATTTCGACGAGACACAATTTTACTGTATCAAAGTGTATACACCCTCATTAGCCATAAGGCTGAGGGTATACATATTCATTAAAAAAGGCTGAAATTTGTATTTGATGTACGGTCACTTTTTGGTATGTTCCCTTTATTTTCATTTCAAGTACCTGTCAGTATATCTATGGTGGAGGGCATCCAAAGTTCGGCACGGCCGAACTTAACGCTTTTTCACTTGTTTTTATCTCACCCTTTATAATGTTGACATGTTTCATATAATGCATTGGCCTTCCAGCTGACATCGATGTGGTGTCAATAATTTCCTAAATCAATTGAACAATAACAATAATGCAAAATAAACACGTGGACTACCGGATTTTGATGACGTCAAATAAATGTTTTCGCCTTTTTTAATGGATTCCGTATGTTCACCCGATTTGTTTTCCAATTATAAATTTTTATTCAAATTTGATATGTTGAATTTTTCACGTGTAACGACGTTAAGTTAATAATTTATTGTTGGAAATATAACAGCCATATTATGTGCAATAAGCGGGAATTTTCTCGCAGATCTTACCAAGGATGCCTCAGCTTGTGAGCGGAGCTGGTGTGGCTTCATCCGAAAAACAAGATTAATTTTTACGCATTATATAGGAAAAGCTTCCAGCTTGTTGCCTGAGTCCATTAACTGGGGCAAGCGTGGTTAATGGTCTTAAGCCTTCAGTGTTCACTAAACGAATTAAAGTCGCAGTGTACAAATTGAGCTTAGGCACTACTTATGAGAAGCAAGATCCTCGTCTAGTATTGGTTGTGTAACAATGTAGTCAGTGTTGTGTTGTAGTTTTTGGTACTATTTACAGATTATTTACATAAGTAACCGTTACTTTCAAATATTTTAATAAGAGTTGCATTTTAGTATTTAAATGATAAATAAAACCTATGTGTTTATACTAAGCTAGCATATGTCTGCTACTTCGTTATCGAGATATACTTAAACATGGAAATACTTAAATATGTATTAACATATTATTTTAATATCGACCATAAATTAAATTTAAGTACCAGTTAGTACCAAATTTCATGATTCGAGCTCTAACGGTTCATCCAAATTTGACCAAATTTAGTTCCATTTAGTACACATTATTTCCACAAGTACCCTCCTCAACCATCAAATAAAACTTCCTGCAAACCCAGATGCTACACGCCCACAATAATTCCAAATTCAAATTTCAGGATTCCAACTCTATTGGTTCACCCACTATTTAAATTGAACCAAATTTAGTATACAGTAGTACGAATTTGTAAAACCTTCTTCTTACCACAAACCTACACCCCAATAGTGATCCTAAATCCAAGTTTCAGGTTTCCAACTCTATCATTTCAGTCACAATTAAAATTGTACCAAATTTAGTACACTTAGTACAAATTTCTAAAACTTCCTACATACCCCAACCCTACACCCCCACAGTGATCCCAAATCCAAGTTTCAGGATTCCAACTCTATCGGTTCAATCACAATTCAAATTGTACCAAATTTTGTACACAGTAGTACACATTACTAAAACTTCCTACATATCTCAATCTTACACCTCAACAGTGATCCTGACTCCAAATTTCATAATTCTAGCTCTATTGATTCACCTAAAATTCAAATTGTACCAAATTTAGTACCATTTAGTACACATAAGTATTATTTTCTTAAACTGAATCCTGACCCCCAATCCTACATCCCTACAGCGATCCTGACTCCAAATTTCATTTTTTCCGCTCTATCGGTTCCAATCCAAATCCAAATTGTACTAATTATAGTACGATTTAGTACTTTTCGTACACATCAGTAAACAATTTCCAAAACTACGTACATATCCCATTCCCACACTCCGACGGTAATTTTTTTAATTTCAAATTGTAGGATTCCAGCTCGATTTGTACCTTAAAAATAAATTTGCACGAAATATAGTACCATATAGTACTTTTCGTACACATGAGCGAACGCTTTTAAAACCATCTCCTTAAATGGAACCTACTTCTTAACCTTAATTCACACACTCCAAATTTTACGTTTTTAGCGCTATCCGTTCACATGCTACGAAATTATACCAAATTTAGTACATATATGCACTTTTCGGATAATAATAGTTCGAATTTCCAAAAAATCATTAGGTACATCTATCCTATAATCCACCAACGACCACCAAACCAAATTTCAGAGTTCTAGCTCCTCCGCATCGCCAAATACAAATGGTATCACATTTAGTACTTTTCGTACCGTTCTAGTACGAATTTCCAAAAACCCAGCCTTATCTGTCACCTTTGGACCAAGAGTGACCCTCACCCAAATATCGTTGAATCAATCAGTCAGTCAGTCAATCACTTTACTCTTTTATTAGTATAGATTAATAAAAAATGGAATAAAAATGGAGTTGACCCGCTTCAAGGGCTAATAAAGGTTGAAAGTAGATTTTGTATACCCTCTATCATACGATTAATTTTTAAAAATATTTTTTTCTAGATTCTACAGCTTGAATTAAAAAATCAAAAACTAATATTCGCAGATTTTTTTTCAAAAATAATTCGACTAATACCAGCATATTTTTTTACAAATTAATTCTGAACCACCCTATTGTAGTAGAACACTTTCTTACAAAGTGGAATATTTCCAAATATTATAATTTATTTAAAATTTTTATTTTTTTTTTATTTAAACTAATAAATTATATTACAGAATGTGTGTTGACGGAACACACACACATACAGGGAAATAAAACAATATATTTTATAATAAAAATATTTGTTACATAACACAGACACACACATTGTGTGAGTTACATATTTAATTTATTGTAATGATTTATTTGTATTCAATCACCGATTTTAACCGCTACAAAAAAATTGATATTCATTCATTATTATTTGTTTACAAATATTACAATATTTATTGTTATTTTATATCGGCAAACCATACGCAATTTATTAAAAATTTTTTTAAATTCAAAATCGAATAGAGTCTAAATAAATATTCTTAACCTTTGAACGCAAACATTTATTCAAAAAAAATATTAAAACAATATTTGGTGTATTCCAAAAAACAACGCACAAATAAATATTTATTTATTTGCTGGAATGCAGAGAACGTGAATGATAAATTACACCATTTCCAAAGGAAATTTAGAATAACACTTTCAAACATATATCAAAAATTGTCCAACAAAAATAATTTAGAATATTTATATTTTTAAATTTAATTTTATAACATAATTTTCATAAAATAAAGATAGTAAATGGTGTATTCTTATCACAATTAAATTATAACACATCAGTAGTCCCTATGGAATTTTGATTCTTCGAATTTAAATATTGATTTAAAAGTCAGGCGTTAAAGACATGCAATTAAGCAAATATTTGCATTAAATAATACAATAATAATAACATTAATATACAAAACTATTTCTAAAGAAAATTTACGTGAATTGAAAATAAATTTAAACAAGTGGAAATTTATTTATTTTTTTTTATTTAAAAAACATTTTAAAGAATATTTTTTCAAGCACCAGACGTGGATATTTTAAAGAATATTTTTTTCAAGAATATTTTTTCAACGGTCCAACACAAGGCGTGGATTTTTTAAAGAATATTTTTTCAAGGGTCCAACACAAGGCGTGGATTTTTTAAAGAATATTTTTTCAAGGGTCCAACACAAGGCGTGGATTTTTTAAAGAATATTTTTTCAAGGGTCCAACACAAGGCGTGGATTTTTTCCAACACAAGGCGTGGATTTTTTAAAGAATATTTTTTCAAGGGTCCAACACAAGGCGTGGATTTTTTAAAGAATATTTTTTCAAGGGTCCAACACAAGGCGTGGATTTTTTAAAGAATATTTTTTCAAGGGTCCAACACAAGGCGTGGATTTTTTAAAGAATATTTTTTCAAGGGTCCAACACAAGGCGTGGATTTTTTAAAGAATATTTTTGTCCAACACAACAAAATAGAACCTTGAAAACAAAAATGAATAATCCAACACAAGGCGATTTTTTGTCAAGGGTCCAACACAAGGCGTGGATTTTTTAAAGAAGGGTTCAACACATGATTCCGTGGATTTTTTAAAGAATATTTCCAATGGCGCTCATGGATTCCCTGAAAGATATTGGTTCGGGTCCAACACAAGGCGTGGTAATTTTTTAAAGAATATCCAAATATGACCCAAAAGGAGTGGATTTTTTAAAGAATTTTTTCGAAAGGATTGTTTGTTCGGATATTAATCCGAATATGATTGACTATGCCAGGCAACAATATGGCCATTTTAAGAAGGTGGAATTTCGAGTTCTAGATATTGGTGCGAGACAAAACCTCCCCAGGGATTTAAAACATCAATTCGATCATGTTACTTCGTTCTATACCCTAATGTGGGTACAAAATCAAAGGTGAGTGCGAGGACACTGTGCGGTAATAGAGAAATTAGTTGATAGAGTTTTTTTTTCAGACAAGCCCTTAAGAATATTTACAAACTCTTGCGGCCACAAGGTGGTGATTGCCTTCTGGTCTTCTTGGCCTCACATCCCCTATATGATGCCTATAAAATGACAAGTCGAATGAGTGAATGGTCCAAATATATGCACGATGTAGATTCCATAATTTCACCCCTGCATTATGTCCGGGAACCCCAACAAGAATATGCCGCACTAATGGCAGATGTGGGATTTTCAAAGTTCAAAGTCAAATTGCAGCATAAAACGTTCGACTATAAAAGTTTCGAGGTTTTTCGAGGTTAGGCAAACATGATTAAAAAACAATAATTATTTATTTAGTTTTTATATATTTTCCAGCTAACATGAAAGCTGTCAATCCCTTTTTGGATCGTATACCACCGGCATTGCACTCGGACTTTATGGATGATGTGATGCTAATGCTTTTAAAACATTTGGGGTTAACCGTTCAAGAGGTGGATTCAAAGGCGAAATTTACAATACCCTATGATCTTATTGTGGCGTTTGGTCGAAAATCTTCTGGTTCCATATATAAGAAAAAATAATGTGAATGTGC